CCCAGGGTTCGAATCTGACCTGCGACCCTTTGCTGCGTGTCATCCCCTCTCTCTGCCCCCCTTTCCTGTCTATCTTCAGCTGTCACTATCATAAAGGCAATTAAAACCCCCCAAAAATAAATAAATAAATGTGGTCCTTGCTCACCTCTGGGTCCCTTCCCGGTGGGGGTCTCAGCGGAGCTCCTGGTCCAGACCAGAAGGATTCCTCCAGAGTCTCCGGTCAGGATGTCACCGGTACTCAAGAAGGCTAGACACTGAATGAACTTCGGCTTCTCATATTTCTGAAAACGCAACAAGAAACATTAATATACATTATACATTACTATAATATATGTATGCAATATATAACGATATAATATTATAATTAATATATGTATATAACAATATTTTATATCATTACTATATGTATACTGTATATATTATATATGTACTGTAGGTACCCAGTCCTTTGTTAGGGGCCGGCATCTATTTGGGACAGGTCTTAAATTCCTAAAACTACTTCTCTTCAGTTTGTTAATTTCAGCTCGTACTTTTTTCTCGGTGCTGCCACCATGGCACTGAACGGCAGCCGGCGTACAGACAGACAGCAACAGACTGCATCCATCTGACTGATCCAACATCCTGCTGATCTCACTGCAGCTCTGTGGTGTTTTTCTTGTTTAGTTTTGGGTTTTACTTTTACAGTTTGCTGGTTCATGGTTCCATAAACACAATGAAAATGTTTGTTGTAGAAAATCATGAAGTTGATATATTACGGCGTCAGTCTCTTCCATCTTTAACAACAAATTAACACTTTTTTTGTTTCAGTAACCAATCGTTTGTTAAGAAGAAGCATCGGACATGTTTTCACAGCAGGACACAGAGTCTGATTTTACTGTTTCAGCAGAAACATGGAAACTCATTCAAACTGATCTGAAGTCTGCTGGTTCTGAAACAACAGTCTGAAATCAAACTGTAGCTGCAGGTTTGACTAGTTAACATTTAATCTGAAGGTTTGTTCCTTTGTGTTGAGGCAGGTGGAGCTTCCTGTTCGTCTGTGGATCAAATTCCTCACATTCACTTTGTTTCTGCTCCACCAAACTTCATTCATATTTTATCGATTTAACACTGATAAAGTAAACAACACTCAGCCAGTATTTGTTTAATTAAAGTTTTTCTCTCTAACTCACTTCAGATCAGAAATCCATACATCTAATTAATCAGTTAAGGGTGCTTTTAATTTGTTTTCCTTTTGCCCTTATCAATAATAATCAATTAGAGTGATTTCTCCTATCTTCTATATGATATCATTATGTTTATTAAAGGAAATTAAACAGGATAGTCAAACATGGAAACAGATAAAACCCACAGAGTGTAAAATGGTAAATGAACTGTACTTATATAGCGCCTTGCTAGGCTTTGGACCACTCAATGCGCTGTACACTACAGCCACACTCATTCACACACATTCATACACTGACGGCAGTGGCTACCATGCAAGGTGGCAACTGCTCACCAGAACAGAAACTAATCATTCACACACACTTATACACTGATGCACAGCATCGGGAGCAGTTTGGGGTTCAGGACACTTGAGGACTTAGGGATCGAACCAACAACCTTCAGATTAGTGGATGACCCACTCTACCTCTGAGCCACAGCCGCCTATGGTGGTCAATGTTAATCAATAACAATTCTATTATTAATAATAGTGACAATAAAATGGTCTCCTCACCCCAAATATTCCCTGTTTACGAGCCAGCGAGTTCCCAGTCCAGGTCCAGAAGAAGATGTGGGACTTTCCACAAGTGACAATGGTGTTGGGGTCGGTGGGGTGGAACTCCACGGCCAGGACCACCTCGTTAGTGGTCTGAAACACACACCAGTTGTAACCAGTTTCACTCAGAAACAAGTAAGAGCCGATAGGAACCAGTGCTGGTTTTTAACCTCTAATGATTAGAATGATATATGTGTAGATATGATTTATATATATTATCATGTAATGTAATACATTTATTGATATGTGTTGTATTGTTGTTTTAAGCAGTCACGGTTAACCTTGATCTCAGCGATTTTCGACTTCTTCTGCCAATCCCAAACTGTCAACATGTGATCATTACAGTCGTCAATAACACTCAGGTGCTGACCAGAGTCCTATAAGAGAGACACAGAGACAAAAGTGAGACAGATAATATCTACTCAGTGATCAAAAGACGTTTCAGCAGAGTCAGAATATGAACTCTTATGATGTACAGAACAACAGGATCTATATAGACTACAGTTCCCATGATGCACCTGGGCAATACTCACAGCTTTGGAGAAAGCCAGGGAGCCGACACCTCGCTCGAATGTTCCCAAACCGACGACCTGCAGAGTCGACAGACTGACGCTATCCCAAATACGAACGTGAGGCTGCAGCGCCTGAATGCAAAAAAAGCTGTTTAGTTTTAGCCTAGTTTTACAAAAATCACACTTTATATAATATATATATACACAAGAGGTTTAATGTCATATGCACAGAAGAAACATAGTTTTATACCATACAATGAAATTACCATAGAATTTAAATATAACTTAAAGTGCAGAACCCTATACAGTGAACCTGAGTTGGAATTAAAAGAAAAAAAAAGAAACCTGAGTTGAATAACGTGCTCTGTGCCTCATAGTTATAAACACATATATTTATTCAATTCAGTTTTATTTGTGTAGCGCCAGTTCATAACAAAAGATATCTCAGGATATACCCCCCCCACTGACAGGAGCCCTGATAACCAGTGTTACTGTCAATGCTCACAGTGTTAGGGCTGATCAATGGATATACACATATAAAAATATATGTATATGTATATATGTGTATGTATATATGTATATGATGTGTGTGTGTCCTCACCCGTCCGTCTTTGTCCACTCCTGCAATCTGTCCCGTAGCGATCCGGATCTTATCAGGATGGATGGCCAAACTAATGGACAGAGACACAGATTTGATGTCACAGATGTGCAAGCACAAAGCAGCCAATAGGAGAGCAGCAGATGATTTCTCACCATTTGACACAGTCGGTGTGTCCGAGGTAATGTCTCTGAGTTCGTTCTTCGTAATTAAACAAAGTGACTACGGAGGCGATAAAGTACACGATCTCTCCGGTTGGTAGGAGGTAAACGTTGGCTCTGCAGTCTCTGCCGCGGTATCCATACCTACAGGAAGTCAAGGATGCACCTGGAAAACACCTGGAGTTCTACGGACATGAAGGTCTACTGAGGATCTACTGGTCTACAGTGGTCTAAATAACCTCAATAATAACAATAAATAACCTCTATTATAACAATAAATAACTGTCACTGTCTGTCTCTCTGTCTCTCTGGTTAGGGTTAACCCTAACCTGCTCAAGGCTACTGTCTACACCTGCTTGTGTTATGAAAGTGTTTTATCTTTCTTATTGTCCTCCCTGTGTACTGTGTGAAGGATACACCCACTCCAGCTTTAGTCGTTCTGACGGAAGTTCTGTCCGAACGTCCTCGTAGTTGTCCACGTCTGAAGGGATGAACATGGTGATGGGTCGACCACGCATGAACATCTTAATGTGGTTCCCCTCTGAAACAGCAGACAGACACACAGAGACCAACAGTGAAGCTAACAAACTGAGCTCAAAGCTTCTGCTGATGCATTAAAAACCAAACGTCAGTCAGACAGACAGGTGAGGGACAGGTGAGGAAGCACTGATGCCGTGCAGGTGAGGCAGGTGAACCAGATCAGACAGTAACACCTGCCATGTTGTTGTTTACCTCCATAGAATTAATAACCTGCCAATCAATGTGAGGCTGCACACAGCAGCGCCCAATGACATGCTTGACTTTAAGGTGGTGGGCGGGGCTTCTGTTTATGTCAGTGACTGGTCTAATTGATTTCAGGTATCACCTGTTTGACCATCTATGGAGGTAAAACACAGCAGGGGGCGGGGCCACAGACAGGTGTGACATCACCTTAGTCTGAAGGAGAGAGAGCAGGTGGGTGAGCGGGGCTGACGGCGTAAAGCAGAGAGAGAGAGAGAGAGAGAGAGAGATGCGATTGGTCCAGAGAAGAAACAGGAAGTGCTAATTCAACTGCTGTTAGCATGTTAGCCTACTAGCTCGCTCCGACGACTCATCAGGACTTACCAGCTTGGCTGTTTTTCTCTCGGGTCGACATTTTGGCTGGTTTGAGACAAAGACATCGTCACTCAACAACAACAACAACAACACAACAAACAACATAAACAACGTCATAATAAACTCCAAAAATAACAGACAACAAACAAAAACCACACAAACACAACCACAAAGAAAAACAATAACACATTCAACAACACAAACAACAACAACAACATCACGTGTCATTCAGGAGAACAAAAACTGAAGAGGATTCCTGCTGAATGGTTTTAAATGTGTCAGACGCTGTTTGTCTACTATTGCTGGCTTCTTATTGGCTGTTACAAATGATGATGAGGATGATGAGGATGAAGACTATGGTACTTTGATGATGAAGATAAGGAAAAATATATATTTACCTTGACTGACCACTGGGTCTTTGTGTCTGAAACGGCAGAAGGAAACAAACATTTCACTCTGGGTTTTTGATTCAGAATGGAAGACTGTTGATCAATCAATCAGTCAATCAATCAATGAAAGTACTTGATCAGCACTAACAGTATATAGACTGATATATTGATCACTAACAGTATATAGACTGATATATTGATCACTAACAGTATATAGACTGATATATTGATCACTAACAG